CCTTAGATGAAGGTATCTCCGTTAAAAGAAAGACATGATGCTTGAGAGCAAGGTATCGTCTTTGGAAAACAAGACGGTGTTTCTAAAATTGTCCGAATTCTTGTTCGATCTTACAACCTCAGAAAAATGACGGTTTTGCCTTATATTTAGGTTTTCTTTGAACTATTGAAAAACTTTCTAGGTTCTTTGGTTTTGCACAAAGGAAACACATAGCAGTACAATTGCTTGAAAGGAAAAAACAGCTAACAACATTTTTAATGACAGGCAACGCGGGTCTATCATCTGTTCTGGTAATCAATGGTAAGGCGCTTTGTTAACATTAACGATACAAAAAAAGCCAAGGAAAATATTTTCACTCCTTTTTGCGTTGTTGCTTCAACAGAAGAAAATTCCTTTGAAACGATCACATAGGACATGAAATATCCATCGATTTGCACTCAAAAAGGAGAGACTTCCGATGTAAAAAATTTAAGTAATTCTTGTAGAAATGCTCTCGAAACCCTCTATGATTGCCTGTTTTTCTTCTTTCTTCTTTTAATGCATACAATATGCCAAGGTGTACGAACCGCCATCAAAGCAGGTCAAATTTTCTTTACAACTGAAGTAGCTTTTTCATGATGTAATAATGGAGAATGAATTCGCGCGCTGATAATATATAGCCAGTTAGATTCAGTTTCCAATCAATCGTCCGGGAGGAAAAGTAACTTTCTGCGCGCGCAAGGAAAAAATATTTTGTACAAGTACAGCAAGTAACGTGAAATAAAGTCATGTGGTTGATTTCATTTTTAACTGGTTAGAAAACTTTATATCAGTTGTTTGTTGTGGTACATGTAGAAAAACGTACATTTTCTCCCGCCAGGCGGTGAATATCTGCGCAAGATTGAAAGTAATATCGACAGCAAATCTCTCTAGGGATACCATCACCATTCATCCATTTCTTCCTATCAACTGGTGTTAAAACTGATAGTTAGGAGACGCTAGGAAACGCAGCGAGCAGTAAAATTCACTCGGGTTTAATTTAGGAACACCGTATTTCTTCAAATAAGCGCCCTCCTCCAAATAAGCGCCAACACCCATTAGTATTATCAAAAAATGCGTTATCTCTTCTTTTAATGTTTTTCCTATTACCGCGCTCTTTGTAAACGCGGTAAATTTCCCAGGAACAACTAGATCACTCTCTATTTTCTTTAAAGGGAAGCGTAATAAGCGCTCCCCTCGATTAAACGCCCTCAGGGCCCTCCTTCCAATAACCGCCCGGGCACTTATTCCAGGGAATACGGTGTACCCCTGCACTGAGCGCACCAGCAAAAAGCGTGGACGAATGACATTCAAAGTAAATTATAATTGCAACATGGAAAACTACAATCTCACCCAACCAAACCTAAAATGTCGTATTTACTCGAATAAGCGCCCCGAATACCCGCCTCTATAAGCGACGCATTTGAAGCGTGAAAAGTTCAATTAGCGCTGGGGCACTTATTCAAGTTCGTTATGGTACAACAAAAGGTAAAAAGCAGAAGAAAAACAGACTGAAATGACATAGCCTGCGTCGCAAGCGTTTCCGCGCGAGTTCGTCGCGCAATGACTCGATTGGAAACGCTTGCTAAGCAGGCTAGAATGACAGAATCTCTAAAGATATGAATTTGAAGGATTCAATCACTAGTTTAACAGCGGCATCTACAACAATGAGATGCTAAGTTGAATTAAGACAAAAAAATTAAAGGTTTTTACCGTAATTGACGCAGCTAATTCGCAGTTCTAATTAAATCCAGGAAAAAAAAAAAAAAAAAAAAATTTTTTTTTTTTTTTTTTTTTTTTTTTGAAAGAAAGAAAGAAAAATCAGAGCGAACAAGCGGTCATTATTTCCTACCTTTTTCTGCTATTGCAGTCCACGTATTTCAGTAGTTTCTGTCAAACTGGTCCTGCTAAAAGTTTATCCCCATTTATTAACGGCATTTTTTCTTTCAAATTTGAGCCACGAAGTCGCTAAAAACATAGAAAATCTTTTTTTTTTGGAAGCAAACGCCACAGGCAGCCCAAACTCTGTGGGAGTTCGTTGTCCGTTTTTTGTCGAAAAAATGGAATTTAGGACATATTTTGTTTATTTTCCCACATTCTCTTATAAATTCAAAGTTCAACGAACTCACACAGAGCTTGGGCTGCCTGTGCAAACACATGCCGCCACTGGGACCCTATTTTCCCTCAGAGCAAAGAGGCCGCGCATTGTGGACGTCTTCGGACCCTGGAAACCAACACTCATTCAAAGATGGCGGAAGGAAGGCATGGTTGGTTTTTCTCGTTTTTCATCTACTTTGCAAGGTTAGTAGTAATTATAGATAGATCAAACAGAAATAACTGTATTATTTATCTTTTTAAACAGTTTTAGAAGTGCTTTTGGTAATGGTTTACTTTGCATTTGGTATTTCAACGCTTTGATTTTCAGGGGAAAATCGGTGCGTGTCCGACAGTGTATGAGGTTTTATTTGCAAATTGACCTTATTAAAGGTACAATGTAGCAAATCGCCACTTCCACATAGTCCCACAATGCAGCTTATTTGCCCCCCAAAATTGTGCACAAGCATTGTTTTCAATTTCTCTCTTGGGAGTTGAAAGTTAAAAAGTGGAAAAGAAAATGCCGGTTCAATTTTCATTTCTTTTTCGATTTTAAAACACAAAAGATTTAAATAGAATTGATAAAAAAATCGAGAAGCAACAAAATTAGCCTATGATTCTCAAATTTCTCCTACCTTTTCATAGAGTAAATAATATACCAAAAATCGTTTTTTATTTCGTTTCCTTTTTCAACTTGGACATACCGATTAGAAATAACAATAAAAGATACTGAGAGTACTGATTTCATTTACCAACTTGAAAGCAAGTCAATTTTTATATTTAGCTGGGAGAAAAAAGGAATTTCAGCAGCTACTTTATGTTAATTATTTCCTATCTCTTTTGAAGCGGATTTTTATGGGGATGGGGAATGGGTTACTGAAGAATTCGTAGCGCCTGGACAATGTAGCCGAAAATCTTTAAGGATCCAAGCTGATCAATCAACATCTGTTCTACTGAGCTGCTATATTAAAACGTTGACTTACGCTTCAACGTCGAGCCAAAAATGTCTTTAAAACACTGGGAGTTAAATTAACTAGGCACGACGTCAGAGGGAGAGCGTGAAGAACTTAATGATCTGATGGCGTCATTGAGGTTCATAGTACAAGGCAGAATTTAGAACAATAGTTGTTTGCCTACAAAAACACCTGTAATTAAAGTTATCCACTGCCATGAATTCGGGTGAAAAGTCATGAAAACAGGCCTAAAATGGTTAAAAATAAGTAAGGTAGTCATTGCCCGGAAAATATGGACGAATTCGAAGGGCCAAATTGAGGTCCAAAAAATATTAAACTGAACAAAGTGCGCAACTCAAACAAGACTTTGTCATCTTTCAAAAATGACTCTCATTAGACAGCATTAAAGAACTATGTTATCGCGGGGATGCACCAAAATGGAACATCGCCTTAATTGGCATAAATCAAACTGGGTAAGAGAAAACTAGAGCAAAACTAAAATCCCTGGGGGGTACTCCATTAAATAAGCTATATAGGTATGTGCCGCCTCATCGGGTATAGGGTTTTTGCGCCGTTTTGGTCTGAAAACGTGTTTACACTTTGCCAATTTTGGTCTGGAGTCGGGTATGGGTTTTGAGAGAGCTCAGGATATGTATGAAGGTATTTATTGTTTCAATTTCAAATGAGTAAGAAAGAAAGAAAAATATGCGAGTTCCACGTGGATTTGAAGAATTTTTTTTTTACACTCTAATCTAAGTAATGATAACATAATTTCTGCATAAAGCCAGGCCTCGGTTGTTCAAACGTTGGATAGCGATATCCACCGGATAAATCGCTATCCAGCGGATAAGTATTAGGGAAACCAATTGCGTTATCCACTGGATAGATTTTTATCCGATTGATATAGTGCTATCCAACTTTTGAACAACCGGGGCCCGGTTTGAAAATGGCCGTATATGGATTTTAGAGGTCTGGTCTGAAAACGGGTGTGGAAAACAACATTTTTTGGTCTGAAATAGGGTCAAAAAAAGGGGAAATAGGGGCTTCGTTTCTTAGATCAATTTATATTAGGTTTCTGGGAAACTGCCCACCTACCCCTAAAAGGATGCTTTTTTTTTTCTTGTAGATACTTTTCAAAAAGTAGATAACATCCATCGAGTAATATTTTTTGCGTATTCTTACATTTCCTACCTTTTCTTACTATTTCTTTCTTTGTCTTAGTCAGACATAACCTATTTCGTCTTTGGATAGCCGTGAACGCCATTTTTTAAGGTCACTATCACACTCAAGAAGCCTCGTCTTCCAGGCAAATATACCATTGATCAACATCGCTTCGAAGCAAATATACCATCGAATCATTGGTGTGTTACTCGCATCTTTGAACTGTGGTAAGCGCCAGTTAGTTATCGGGTATTGTAGCCAATCAGAAACGGCGAAATATTCCGAATGAAGATTTAAAAAGAGATCATGCGCTACAAGTTAAGAGTTATACAAGCGAACCTGTTCAGCGGTCTCCCGTCTGTTTTGTAATTGCGATACCAAACGCAGTAGCAGAGTCTAAAAAAATGGCGATAAAATTACTACAAGCAAGACCTACATTCAACGACGCCTTAGTACCGTCCAAGCAATTTATTTCTGTATTTTCTCATACACCTTTTTAACGGGCTAGAAGAGTTAACTTTGGCTTTTTTAGGCAGTCAAGGACAGTGAAGACATAAAACAAAAAAAGAAAAAAAAGGAGCAAAAGTAGTGAAAAGTACAACTTTTACTCTAGCGTGTGTGTGCCGGGTTCTCGGATAACAGGACGTCGCGAAGATAAAACAAGCGAGGCGAAAATAAGGCGCGCGCGATCTGGGAAAGGGGGCGGTTGCGGGAAAAAAGATAGGAGAGAGAGATCCACAACCCTTTCTCTTCCCAGCCGTCGCGTGTTTGTCGCATCACTTTTCATAACTGCACAACTACACTAATAACTTAGAACCTGGAACAGGCTATGTTTATACGGGAAGAAATTTAAACCAATCACATCTTAGGCCAGAGCGGCAACAGACCAATTTCGATATGTTAACATTCCTGCTTAATCCTGAGGCCTGGGAAAATCAGACAAAAGAAATCACCTTGAGGCTCAAGGATGAACGACACATTTCTTTTGTTTAATCACTTCAAGCCCTGGAGCCAGTAAATTTTGTACACCGAAATGGTTTTATTTTCAGTATCAATTATATTGCGTTCGTGGTTATACTAAAAGAAATCAAAACTCTACAACACCCTCCTCGGCCCTCGATTTGGCGGCCAGTGTTCTCTCCACCAAGGGTGGCCCAAAGAGGTTCGACTACACGCTTCTTTCTATTTGGTACAAACTACACACGTCAGTTCTTTCCCTTCAACATAAGGAACGCACGGTATACCGTAACCGCAATTAACTTGCACTAGGTATAACAATGCTCCATTTGTGTTACTATGGCCACCCGGGACGGCCTCAGCATTCACATCAATGCACACAAATTCGCTGGTATGCTTGTGGCCATAGTGAGATGTCATCAAGTACCCGTGGTACTCTTTGGTCCATCCCGAGGGACACTTGTTGGTTGCAGGGATCATCATTTGGGAACCACGTGACTTGACGTAACACACGGCGCAAGGAGCATCCTGGTCATTAAGATTTTTGCTAAAGCCTGGGAAATTGCCTGTCTCATACTCCGTGCCGTATATCGCTCCGGTTCCCTGCCAGCCTTGGATGTACTTGTCATAAACAGGGTTGTCGGGAAGACAAACAAAATTAGATCCTCCACCGGGATGATTATAAAAACCACTGCCCATCACACCTGTGAAAACACGGGAAAAATGGCATTTAAAAGAGTGTCTGTCGTAAAAGGTATTACATTTGACTGTCCCGTTAAATTATGGTCATCCCCGGAATAAAGCAGTTAGTATGAACAAGTTGAATTACCAGGATCCCGCCGGGGGGGGGGGGGGGGGGGGTAAAAAAAACCATCCCCCCACCAAACAAAAAAAAACACACCCCGCCCCACAAAAAAAAAAAAAAAAAAGAAATGATAGTAAATAGGGGGTGTTGTTTGAAAAATTTTTTTTTTTGTGTTGTATATATTAGATAGCGGGCACCGGGAAAAAAAAAGAAAAAAGGTAATGGAAGGGGCGGGCGGGGGGGGGGGGGGGGGGGGGGGGGGGGGGGTATCCAGATTTCAAGTGACGGGGATAAAATTTCCGATTCCGGGATTTTTTTGGACGGTATTACTTTGCGTGGCTTGATTTGATAAGGGATATTTTAGGTGTTCAAAACAATCTAATTTTCGATGTAAAGACAAACATTCAATTTCTAATTTTTTTCAATTTTATTTTTATATCATTTGATGCGTTCTAGGTTCTAAATATCGGCATGGGATTTTTTGGGGGTTAGCTTTTAGCCCAGGGATTTTTATTGGTTTAGTTGGAAGCCCTAGCGATTTTTTGGTTTTGATTTTTACCCCCATTCGATCATCCCCGTCAATTGAAATCCAGATTCCAGAGTACCCCCCTGGAACCAGGATAAGTAGGAGATAGGCTCCTGGGATAAGCAATTATGAAAAAAATAAATTTACTTGGGGCAAATATCATGCAAACAGAAACAACTTGGAAAAAATCAGGGGCAAAGATGGCAAATGCTGTATTTGTCCCGAATTGGCAAGGAAGGAAATCTTGGTAGGGCTGTGACACGAATACATGGAAGGCAGAAGCCCAATACCCGGAGCGAGCAACTTCCATGAATCGTGTCAAGGCGTTTTTACCGACCCGTTTATTTAACGATTTTGGTAGTAAGCAAAACCTGCAGACCGAAAAATTACGGATGTTTAGTTTTCTTTATACTTTGATTAAACTCAAGAACGGAGCAACTTTTCACGAGAATTATTGCTCTCAAAATAAACCAGTCCGTAAAAACGCCATTTCACAGGCCTAATATGGGAGTTGCTCGCTCCGGATTATGGGCGAGGCTCTTACGCAAGGTACACGTGAACGCTCCTGGTAATGGGCTCACTGTCTCTGAGTAGATAGTACTGATTTAGCTGCATAAACTTCCAAGTCTTTTTATTTTCTATCGTTTTATAAATATATATACTTGTAATCCTCATACCAGTGTACACAACTGAGGCGTCTCCTGAGCAGTTAGTTCGTCCCCATCGGTTATACGTCACACCTGACTGCGCCTGTCCTTCAGCTCCTCTGTCTCCTTTAGGCCCAGAAGGACCCACAGGTCCAGGAATCCCCGTTGGACCTTCGTTCCCTATAAAGCGCGGGAAAAAATACATTACACTGTGTTTCTAGGAAAATAGCGTCTAAATAATCCGGGACGAACATTATTACGGCCATTAAAAAGTATGTTGGACAAGTTATTTTATTTTATTAGCTTCGCTAAAAAAACAAACAAACAGAAAGAACGTTGGCGGGGACGCCGCAACAGCTGTGGCCAATTACAGCGGGCCAGGATACTACTACTACAAATAATAATAAAAAAAACAAGAAATATTAAAAAACAAAGTGATACAAGAAAAACTACAGCTACGTACAACAGGTTATTGGACGAGACAAGGGACGAGCACTATTACATTTTAAACAGATAGACTTGAACGAACGTGGGTCTTCACAATCATAGGAAAACAGCTAACGCAGACTTATAATAATTAAAAATAACCGATTTAAAGGAAGCTAAGGTCGATGAGCTCAAATATAGTTCATCCGCTAATCAATTCCAAATTCTGCTAGTTGTGGTTTAATGTTAAGTTGAGACTAAACTTGTTACTATCAGTTTAATTGAGAGCATTATTGATGGTTATCGATGTAGAAGCTAAAAAAGACCACATATGCGCTTTCATCAAAAACGGAAGCACTATGTTTTGCACATAGTTTATCCTTTTCCAAGCGTTTCGAGAGTGAATTTGCTTTTGCGAGCTTTATTTATAACTGACTTCCGCAGGCAGTAGGACCGGTTTAATCTATTCTCTTTTCCTGAAATAACTATTATTGTGAAGTTTCGTTTTTGTTAACCGGGCGTTTCTGCTAGATCTCACTTTTTTGAATCAGATATCCGATGATAACAGTTCATAGTATTATATTAGCGACGTTTCGCGAGAAAATAAGTCAGGTGGTTTATTATTCGGATTCAGATTATAAATTATTTCTAGCATACACCACTTGTATATATCTCATAATGTACCTTATTTGCCCCCTAAAATTTTGCATAACCGTTGTTTTCAGTTTCTTTTGGGACGGCTGTAAAACTGAAATGAAAAACAAAGGTTATGCAAAATTTTGGGGGGAAAATAAGGTGCATTATGGGAGATGTCAAGTGGCGTATACCTGTTACATGTTCATTACATGAAGAATGCTAGGAGACCTAAATCAATAAACAAGCAACTTAGCAAGCGTTCCCCTGCAAGCTAGATACAAGATGTCCTTAATTGTTTTGCTCGTGCCTAAACTTTTGGCCCTTGCTTGCTCGCGCGGGAACGTGTTTGCTACAAAACAAAAAAACTGCCAATTGCGTTAGCGGGTAGTGCCCAGAACGTTAGTGGGGACCCATGTAATCACTCCTACAATAATCTCACGTTTGTCTGGGTTAGTGATGTTAATTGCTGCGTTTAAAGATCTCGATTAAAGTTCTCCTAACCTATTTTGCTTTGAGCTTCGACCTGTAATGACCAGTTGTTATCATATAACAACCCCTACTATGGTAGTATGACGGTATTAGCAGAGGCAGCGGAATATATTTTTTAAGGGTAAGGGGGGTGGTAAGGAGCGGGGGGCTGACTAGCGACTCGAAGTAAGGAGCCTGAGGAGACGTTCCACGTAAAAATCTTAAGCCCCCATAATGTAAGCCCCCCGGCTCCACCGTCCCTGATGAGTTAGCAACTACTCGCGAAGAGAATTCTATAAAGCGCTCTACCCCTTTAGATTTATCTGGTATCCGGCTACCTTTTGGTCCCGTAAGTCCTCGTGGTCCCGCGGGTCCTTGTCTCCCGTCTCTACCGTCTCGTCCTAAGAGGTAAGAAACCTTCCTGAGGACGTAAACTTCACGAAATTCTCATTCTGTGTGTTAAGCATGCCTCACAATAACTTAACTATCACCCTTAGAAGATAAAACATGAAGGGAGAATGTCCTTATAAGAGGAGCTAGGAATGCTGTCAAACCTCTCATAAGCGAGTGAAGAAGTATAGTGGGAACCTCCGGTATCCCAGTCTTTGTTGTTGGTTGGAGGGGTTTCTCTTTTTGACTGAGTAACCTAGACACTTAATTGACTTGCTGTGAAAGTCCTTTAAATGGGGTCCTGTCCCAGCTGAGTCCCTTAACTAGCAATAGCTACATGTTATGGCGTTCGACTGTTAACAATGATAATGATAATGAAAATGTAAATTTAAAAAAAAAGGCGTTGCGAGGGAACATTTCGACCTTCCACTGAGTATTAATTACCAGCAGGTCCGGGTGGTCCTGGCATACCATCCCGTCCGTCTCGACCTAAAAGGTAAACAAAAAAAAAGCATGATTGCAAGACTAAACGCTCATTTCTGTCATTAAATTTTCTAGACAAAAACAAACCATAGTGGAAAAAGTGAAAATCTAAAAAAGACCGCCATATTGGATGACCTCAAATGCCCCCAGGAGAACTTTTTCTATATGTATTCTATCATAGCACGCTATCTATCAAGGGCAGAAACTTGTCAAAATATCGCAAAATATCGTAAATAAAAATATCGTAAAGAAAATGCTAGGGGTTCCAACCACCACTCCCTCTTGTACCACGATGGACGTACCAGTTTGCATGTACGTCACAGGGATTAAAAAAAGAAATTCGAGGGCAACGCACGACATGTTTCAAACACTATGAAACACGTGCTGTGAGTGTTTTAAGGCCGATACACACGAGGGATTTTGCTCCCGGAGCATGCTCCAGGGGTACGCTCCGGGAGCAAAGTTCCTCCTTGTGTACCAACGATTTCATGGGTATACTTCATCCTCGGGAGTAGAATTTCCACCCCGCAAAATGCTCCACGATATTTAACCGGTTAAATATTTGGGAGCAAGCTCCCGGGGCAAATAACGCTCCCTCGTGTGTACTGACACGTGCAAAATGATCCTGGAGCATGCTCCGGGAGCAAAACCCCTCGTGTGTATCGGCCTAGATGGCTTCAAAAACGTAACCAGGGAGTATGGGCTCAGTGGCTATTTACCTCGAAAAGAGGACCGCAGGCTCAGGTCCTTAGAGAGTTCAACAATTCTGAAATACGAATAAAAGATAAAAATTACAAACAAGGGTCTTAAAGGTCTGGTGGCATGCGCATTTACGGTTAAAGATTTATATTTTGCTGGCTTATTTTCTCTCCGTTACGTATACGTTACGGTCAGCGCTCGTTCTAAAGACCCCCTTGATATGGAACCACGTCCCCTGAAATATTATAGCGTCCATCAGCCACGAGATACGACAGGCAAGGTCCTAACGAGCGAACTGATCATCTCGACGCGTAAACCGAGGTTAGGAAAATTTTCAGTGGTATTTTCAAACGTATTTTCCATTTTATTCGTAGCCTGCATGGTCAGCGTTCGAAAGGAAAGGGGAACGGAATTTGGGCGCGAAACCGCTCGCGAGGGAGAAGAGAGGAGGGAGACTTTTCCAAGGGCGCCATTATTTTCTCCATCCTGCCAACTGGTTATGTATGCAAAACTAAGGCAACCCTGAAAGTCTAGCTGTTCCCTACCCTTCCCCTCTCCCTCGCGCGCCCGGAATCCCCTTCCTCTCCCCTTCCCCTTTGCTTTCAAACGCCTGCCACGTAGGCTATTTTCTTCGCCTAACGACTTGTTTGGCAGACTTATGGCTAAGTAAGTACAAAAATCGCGGAAGAATAGTTTTGGACTTGAACACACTCTTGTGATTTAGACTGAAGGGTCGGTGTTGTTTGGAAATGCTCAAACAGACAGTTTTTATTAACTATTTTTATTTACCATTTCGAAGCTCAAGGGAAACTTGGTGACGTTTTCTCCCTCAAAACAACCACACAGTGCCATTCGAGATAACAACGACCAAGACCTACTCTTACAAACTAAAAACAGACAGCAGGTGCTGAATTTTGCGGCCACCTTGATCGGTTATTTTTACAGATCATAGGCATATTTCGCGAGCGAACGTTTAGTGAGTGGTGTTATAGAGACATATTGGACCGAACGTTACTGACCGAGGTACAGTACGTGAATACTGACGTCGCTTGGTATTAGATAGATTTATAATCCCGATCACAGCAAACGCCAATTTGTACCACGTTCCCTAGTTTTCCCTTTACTTGAAGTTAAAATTAATGAGTAATTAGCTAAAAAAATAGTTTCACCTCAGGTTTATCCACAGAATTATTTTGGTAGTTGCGATCTTTTCATTGTCTAATTTTAGAAATTGTCAACGCGGATGAGACGTTTGCCTTGCGCGCGCATGCGTTCTCTTAGGGTACATCCGGATCAGGATCAGTGATCCGAGATCAATCGGATCTATTGCACCAACGAAAGCGATGAATCCTTGTGCAGAGTGGATTTATAGATCCCTTTGATGCATCATAATCTGAGTGTTCTCGGGCCACTGATCCTGATCCGGATAATCCCAAAGGAAAACACCTTTTTTTCACCCTGCATTAGCGCGCGTGATAGGAGTCGTGCTTTTGTAAAGTCGGTAGAGACAGGAAAAAAGTGCTTTAATCTCTTAGTGGCGATTTAGCTCAGTAGACTTCAAGTCTTATTGCCACTCTCGTGGAGCCATTCGACTGATTTCTTTGAACCGAAATTGCTCTATTTACACTCTGGGACTCATCGCAGCCCGTTGGTCTTAGTCCACATTAGCCATACAAATCAGACTACCTTGACTCTTATGCCAAGAGTAAATAATTCCCTAATGAGATACTGCTTAATTTCACTCACGAAAAAGGCCTCCCATTTGGGACTCAAGGGGCTAAAACAAATCGAAATTGAATTAACAGCTTGCAATAGTACCTGCTCTCCACTGCAATGACCCTCTTACCAAGGTCTGACAAATTAACACGCGGGTTAGTCGTCCTCTTCTGTCGATCATGATTTTTCGTTTGCTCCCACTTCCCATACTTCACTGTTTGGGAAATTGCTTCTATCTTGTTTTCGGCAATAGTGAGTCGTCCTTCCCATTGACTGCGCGGTTTACGTTCTTTATCCTGAACCACTCTAAGTTCACTTTCAATCGTCGCAAGTCGACTTTCTTTTCCCCTGAGCTGGGTCTCAACGTCTTCAAGTTTCCTATGCATTGAGACGAGGAAGATAAACTGGAAAGCGATGAACGTTAAGAGGCAGGTAACCACAGCAAAGCATAACAAAGTACGAATGCGCTCCCACTTGAAGCACCTTCTGGAGAGAGGAATCTTACTTGATTCCTGTTCCATTATATGAAAGATATTAAGCACTTTAGAGAGATCTGAAATGCTTTACGCTGCCAAGTCGCAAAAACTATATGAGAACCTGGTAAGGACTTTAAATATAGCTTGTTTAGGAGGCATGCCAATGTTTAAGCACGTTTCAGTTACATGGATATGCTAGCAAATTGCAAAGGCACGTACTTGGCACTCTTTTTGCATACTTCAGTTTTTACACCCATAGTTTAAATTACTGATCTGCCAAACATAAGCTAGTAAAACCGACCTCTTGGACCCATCTTTTCTTGTGTTAACATCCGGTGCTTGTGATTAATCGGCCTACGTAGCTGACACAACACGGTAAAAGGGGGTCCGCCCCCCTGACTTTTAGACCAAACAGAGGCCAGAAGAGCCGAAAAAAAGTTTTTTGGAGACCGGGCCCTCCACTTATCTAAGGGTCTGCCCAGCCCCCCCCCTTACCTCAGGGTCTGGATCGGTACAGGGGCTATATCACAGGGAATTTGCAGATCTAGGTTCATTCCGTTTAGTGCACTTAACCATACACAAAATGCTCCGTTTGAGATCAGTGGAACCCCGCCTTACAGCTACCACGGTAATATGGTCACCTCGTTATTACGGCCACTTTTTTATGGTTGCACGGCAAAAAAACAACCATACATTTTCTTGTAAAGAAACCCTCGTTAATACGGTCAGCTCGTTATCACGGCCAAATTTTTTCGGCCCATTGGTGACCGTGTTAACGGGAGTTGCACTGTATGAAGAAGACCATAGCTCAATTTTTCGGTGACTCACAGCAAACTGATTTGTTAAAAGACAGGTTTGCAGTACGTGGGTGGTAAAACGACCAACGTTGCTTTCAACTCACTCGTTTTGCGTCACCATCATGTTGTAAAACAAGTTTTATGTATTTGTTGCCCGTTTTATCGTACCTTGAGCCATCACCTCCGCAGACACAAAAAGACGGTGCGCGGGGGACGATGGAAAAAAAGCCTTCACCCTCTTCCCATCGTTCCCCGCGCGCATTCTATTTTTCGATTATTGCTATTTTTATTGAGATACCCATCGGGAGCCTCTGTGGAGGAGAGTGTACCTTGAGTGAACAATGCATTTACCTTAATTACATGTCTGTTATTTCAGGTTCCTCCTTGCCGTCAGACAGAGTGATTCTTCTGAATTCCCAATTTTCTCACTAAGAAGGGTGGGCAAACAAGACATACTCTAGTAAATATCATCTTCAAACGATTATTAAGTTTCATTTCAACCAACGGTTTACTTTTCAAACAAGAAAAATTGTTGGAATAAACAATAGAAGAAACACGCGCTCTGAAGCAATGTTCACACTATAGAGTGTTTTCACTCACGTGGCCAGCATCTATGCAAATTTATTGGAACAAAAGAAAGCGTTTACATAAGAAAAGAGTTCAACTCCCAGCGGATTGGTTTGGGACACCAACATGGCCGCCGTTTCATTGTTTTGGGACACCAATATGGCCGCCGTGACGTCATGTGAAAACACTCTATACCGGATAGCTCTTGCGCAGGCGCGAAAACCATATTGGATAAAGCTTCTGTCCTCGCACAAGAACGGTGATTTTGGCGCTATAATTTCTATAACGGAGCGAAGCTGCGCCGCGCCGATGTACAAAAAGGAGCGTCACTCATCGGATAGGTTCTGTGCCAGACTTTGGTGTAGTGTGAACAGAGGTATTCGGACAGTGGCGGAAGTGACTCAGTAGGAGTGAGGACTGGTAAGCACTGAAACGGAAGTAATTGTTCAAGAGTGAAGACTGGAATTAAGACGGAATCCATCAGGAAATTGAGTAATTTTAATTTTCATTGGACAAAAATTTTGTACCAGAATAATTAAAAAAAAATCCCATTCTTTTTTACATTTTTCAAGGACTATAGATTTAATTAGTTATCTGTAATGACACCGAGGACTATTTCTCATGGGGACCCGAGAAAATAAATGTCAAATTTTACAAAAATTGTAAAACACAGCTAAATTAGGAAAATTTAATTTGTAAGATGTCTTTTTCCGAAATTTGACATTTATTTTCTGGGCTCCCATAAGAAATTTTCTTTGGTGTTATTGCAGATAACTAATTACACCTTTAGCCCTTGAAAAATGTAAAAAAGAATGCAACATGCTTTAAATTATTCCGGTACAAGGTTTTTGTCCACTGAAAATTAAAATTATAATTAGTCAATTTCCTGGTGGATTCCGTCTTAAGTACACTAAAACCTTTTAGCCTGTAAGCAAGCTCTCCAATTATGGCGAGTAGAGCGAGGCGAGACTCTCTTGGTCGCGAGAGAAGACGTCCGGCTGTAACGTAACTTTTCCCGACTACCCTAAATGGTGTGCTTACTCGCGGGCTACAAAACCTCTCGGCCAAGTCCGCTCAGGCGCCAAGTTCGATGTGTGTGAACGACCTGCTCTAGTCCCGGGTGTTAAAACACCGCTAATTTCCCCGCTCCCTGGGTCAAGATATTTTTTAAAAGCCCCGTATAGCGTGAAATTAGTAAAATTTAGTTCTAGGCTCGATTTCAAACGCTCTCTCCTATCTGGTATTCTGTATTCAGCGTGTGTATTTCTTAAAATTCAAACCATCGGACCCCTTCAATAAAAATTCTCAATTGCGTTCCTTTAATTCATGAAAAATCAGTGTTACCCTGGGTGCCAGGGGATTTTTTTTCTTACCTAATTCCTACGAACGGACCTTTGGGAGCAGTGTAGAAAAATGCGGTTAGATCGCTTACTAAACAACAATATCTGTATGGTATACTTGTAAGGGCAAGGGATCTTAAGCGAAACCCGACCTATAAATATTGCTGAATCAGCTCGAGGTCTAGTAGTAGAGATTTTCAGTTTTGACCTGGAAATGGCGATTTATTACAGATAGTATACACTGAATAAACAATTATTCCCTTGTATTGTTTATGTTTAAATGAACGAGGCCGAATTCAAAGAAAGATATTTATGGATCAAATCAGTTAGCCTTTCCCGTCTCCTTTGTGAACTGCAAAACAGTAATTCTCCAAACAACGAACATTGCCAAAATCTATTTTTCCTTTACTTCGTCCACAGAGGAACTCATAAGTCCCTTGAAAACCTTGATCTCGCTTGTATGGTTTTCCCGCCAGATTGCAAAAATGTGACATAATAAGTAAATAAGGTCACGAGTCCACCGGAAGGGTCCCGACAGGAAGCGGAAGTCTCTCTTCATTTTGCCAAACTACCGCCGACTCGTTAATTGAACACTAGCAACTCACCCTCCCTCTACGTCCGTGGAAGATTTGTCTCTCCTCTATGCTTGAGCTCCATTGTGAGAAACCAGTAAAAAAGGGGAGCCAAAGTTCTCGGGAGGCGGGGGGGAGGGGGTGACGTTTGTAGGGTCATCATCCCACCGACCTTATCATGAAAACTGGCTGGGAACGCAATCTACGTGTGTGGTTGCAAACCGACATTATTTGTTTTGGAATGGAGACCTTTTTTTGCAAGATACCTAGAAGCAAGCGAGTTCCTCTTTTTAAATGGCTCTAAAACCGATTCAAAACAAAAGTTCATCATATGGATATAAAAAGCGTTACTATGACGGGTGCTAGTCGCCTTTTTAAGACAAAGGGCAGACCATGCAACAGCAAAATTCCGGAGTAGATTTTTACGGCTAATAAAACGAAAACCGAGAAGCTTCAGTTTATTACGAGTACTTTAAGAGTCATCGGGGTTATCTGGGAAACTTTAAACTTTTGTTTTTTAACTTTTTCAAATAAACTAAAGAGTCTGATAGCACATAGTCGATTGACAAACAAAAGAGTCTAATAGCACATAGTCGATTGCCAAACAAAACTTTCCAAAGATTCATCATTCATGATCATTTTCAAAAAACACTTTGTGTCTTCTTGCACGCAAGCCCTCACGTGCAAATATCCTATTGACACTCAACCGCGGCATTTTTACGGGACAGACTGGGAGACCTACTTTGACCTGTGATTTGCATCTGACAGGCAGAGAAAAAAATTCGAAAATCACGAAAAAACAATACAAAAACAAAACAAATCACTTTGAAATTAACTGCGGTCTGGCAGAAACTAGACGTACACAATTCGTAACAAAATTCGTACGATTAAAACGAACTGTTATTGGGAGCTCAGGTCATTTAGCAGGCAAGAGGTATGCAGTCCGGATAAGAATCGAAAGAATTATGGCAATTAGGATGCCCACAGGCGCACATGTTTCATTTACTTCTTCGGACAAATCATGCATCCCATAGATCTATTATTACCGTATGTCGATAAACTAATCCAGAATTTTTAACCTAAAGCATTAATGAATACTCCAGTTTCGGAGCTTCTCATAGTTTAGCGTTTGTTTTAGCGTGCGTGCGTGAGCTAATGTGTGTAAACAAGCGGCCAATTTTATTAATGGGCGGCACCTGTACGACTAAATCGCGGTTGAAGCAGGAAATTCCTGAGTTAGTCATCCGTAGAAAGACAATGTCTTTTTGTAAAAGGTAATGCCCAGGGAAAAACATCCCCGCAAACTGAAGAGGCTGTCAAACAATATGAAGTGAAAATGATACTTCTTTTCGGTCAAATGTCATCTCGTCTTACTATGTCTAGTATGAAAGTTCTCAACCTGGTAAGTTGGAAAATTAGAAATATGGGATTACGGAATTCGGAATCTGCACTGGACTTAATTAATATAATAAGCTAGGGAAAAAATTCCTTTCTGGACACCACCTCCACTTGGTTTGAAATGTGTATCAAACAAACCGCAAGTTTAAAAAAGTCTATTCGAAACTGAAAAGGAAACCAAAAACGCAAAACAAAACAAAACTTAAAAAGCAACAACAAAAACAAAACATACAAACCGGGAAAACAAACCTAAGATAAAAACAAAAAGAACAAACAAAACAAGTACAAAAAGACACTAAAGAAAATAGGAATGTAAATGGAAAAATGATTAGCTTTTTAAATACATCTGTGTCCGAATTTTTCTAGGCTAT